CAAGGCCGTGCCCGAGCACCCGCAGGACCCCGAGTCCCTCTTCAACCTCATGTCGGGCATCTTGGGCATCTCCCCTTTCGCCGCCCCCGAGGGCCAGCAGAGACAATCGGACCCTCTTTACTCCTCCTGCCCCGAGGTGACTCACGACCAGCTGGACCTTTATGCCAACTGCCAGCCTGAAATGAGCGCGTGTGTCCAAGCGCCCTTCCCGGAGCAGGGATACGCCGGCTTCCCTGGCGCAGAGAGCGAGCCCGCACTGCAGGGAAGTGCCTCGCAGGGCTTCTTCGACACCAAGCTCCTGGACAGCAAGCAGGACATCAAGCTGCCCTCGCTTTCCCCAGCCCTGGACAAGTTCAAGGCGCCCTGCTCGCAGTGGGAGCCCATCACCCAGCACCAGGCCTTCGTGCCCACCGGCTACCAGCCCGCCGAGGCCTTTGCCGCTGCGGACGCTGGCCACACTCTGTTCCATGCACTGGGCTCCAAGATGGAAAACGTGCTCTCTGTGAGCTGCCAGTCACAGCTCGGCAGCCTCGCGGAGGATCCCGGCTGCTTTGGCAGCAATTTGGGGTTTGCTTGCGAGCCGGATAATTTCCAGGCCCGCGGTGACTTTGGCGATGCCAAAATCCACAGCCTCCCCACGCAGCTGATCCCAGAGTTTGACACCTCCTTGGCGCAGCCGGACGTCCTGCCGGGTTTGATGAGCTCAAACGAGCTGCTCCATCCTCAGCCGTCCCCCTCCATCCCCGCCACGGACTTTCTGGCCCACCCGGCACCGTCTTCCATCGCCTCCCTGCTCCCTGCCACCCCGCCAGCCCTCGGCGAGCCCAAGAAGAAGACGCGCAGGACCAAGTGCTCATCCAAATGCTTCTGCCCCAAACCCCATGAGAAGGCCTTCGCCTGCCCCGTGGAGAGCTGCATCCGGAGCTTCGCCCGCTCCGACGAGCTCAACCGGCACCTGCGCATCCACACGGGCCACAAGCCCTTCCAGTGCCGCATCTGCCTGCGCAACTTCAGCCGCAGCGACCACCTCACCACGCACATCCGCACGCACACGGGCGAGAAGCCCTTCTCGTGCGACGTGTGCGGGCGCCGCTTCGCCCGGAGCGACGAGAAGAAGCGGCACAGCAAGGTGCACATGAAGCAGAAAGCCCGCGCCGAGGAGAAGCTCAAAGGCCTCGGCTTCTTCTCGGTGGGTCTCTCCTTCGGGGCACTGTGAGGCCCGGGCGAAGGCGACAGAAGGTGACGTTTCCTGAGGCGGGTCCCCGTTGCGGAGGAGCTGGGGGTGCCGATAGGCCCCGGGCTCAGCGGGGCGGCCCTGCGCAAGAAGGTGGCAAATAGCAGTGGGTGTGAGGTGCCCCTGCTGCACTGGTGGCAGGCGCAAGGTGACGGAGGACAAGGGGACAGCCCTGAGCCTGCTCGGTGGCCAGGCCAGCCTGGAGCTTCTCCACGCTGTGGGGACTGAGTCGTTTGGTAGCTTCGGTGTGGGGCAAAGGCAAAGGAAAAAACAAAAAAAAATGCACAGAAAGAGACCGCCACCGGCCTTCTACACCCCACTGCGCGGGCCGAGGCGATGTTTGCACTAAGGGGACTCCGTGCCAGCACTTTCCATGGCCTTCCGGAGCCGTCCCCTCTAACATATGGTGCTGGGGCTGCGGCAGCCCGGCCAGAGCGCTGCGCCAGGAGCAGGGAGACACGGGCAGCGCTGCCGTGACGCTGCGCCTCGGCGGACTCCAGAGAACGCTCCGTAACGCTCCCTTTGGAGAGGTGATGTCATGCTCCATTTTTTTTTCTTGATTTGTAAAAGGACTCTATCAGGAATATCACAGATTTGTGTCTATTTTTGTAATTAAAGCTTTGTTGCTATCTAAAAGCGTGCTGCGGTGGCTCCTTTCAAAACCTGGCAGTGGTCGCAGGTGGAACCCGCCCTGCAGGGTGTCCTACCCCAACCTCCTCCTGCTCCAGCCGCCGCGCAGGACTGGGGGGCACTGGCCGCTTTCTCGGTCCTCCCGGTTTCCTCCCTCCTTGGCTCCTTTTCCCTTGCTCGGGTGACCCAGGGCTGCTGCGGGCTGGGGACGCCAATGCTCCCAGCGCTGGCTGCAGCCTGACACCCCGTCAGGATGCTCAGGTGAGGTGCACGTGGCCCGGGTAGGATGTACGTGCCCCGGGTGAGATGCATGTGCCCTGGGTGAGAAATATGCAGCCCAGGTGAGATGCACTTGTCCTGGGCGAGATGCATGCACCCTGCGCAGGATGCACGTGCTCTGGGTGAGATGCACCTGCCCCAGGAAGGGTGCACATGTCCTGGGCAAGATGCACATGTCCCAGGCGAGCTGCACATGCCCTGGGCTGAATGCTTCTGCTCCAGCATCGTTCAGGCCCGTTATCACCCAGCACTCGCCCCCTTCCACGTGCACTGCCTGTTTTCCCTCCATGATGCACAAACGCTGCATCCGGCAGCTCCCGGAACCGCTGCTCTCACAACCCCGCTGGAGCGCAGCTTCGGCTTAGGGAAAAGCAAACTGGGGTCACAGCCCTCAGGCTGGGACACCTTGGACACAATATCCAACATTTCCCTTGGTCTGGGCCCAGCACAGAGCCCAGCAGCAGGAAGCATTTGGGGCAGACACCCAGCTCGCGAGCAGCTCGGCCATCCCGCGGACTTCCTGACCCCTTTCCAGCTCTGAGCAGAGCCCACGGCCCCATTTTGCTGCTGCCTCATGCAGTGGCAGCTCGAGGCGCTAAGGCACCAGTGTCCCAAGCACGAGCCGTTCTCAGCACCACTGGGGGGGAAGTCCTGCACCTGCAGGAGGCTCCATCCTGCCTTTTGCAGGCAAAAGGCGCCGTCCTGCCCTTCTCCTCCTGCTTCATCTCCATTAGACATGCAGGTTGCAATGGAAAACTGATGCTGGGCCTGAAAGGGTTGCAAAGACAGAGGGGCTGCCCTGGGGCTCGGGGGACGGGTGTCAGTGATGCAGCTCTCTCCTGTAGCAGCCAGAGGTCCTTCATGGGGCCTGAACCATGGGGAATACCAAAAGCAGATGGAAAAATATATAAAAGCATATAGATATATATATATTATATATAT